ACGTGGAAGATGAGGATTGGAGTGCAAGTTACTGGCCAGATAATAAGAAGTATGTTAGCTCACATTAAAATCAAAGTCCAGTACGCCTCACCACTGTGTCTATTGGTGACAGTGCAGAAGAGGCGGTGAGAATTTGGCCAGCAGCAACCTGCTCTGACATCGGAGAGCGTGCAGACCCCCGGGGCCTTACCTAGCTTCTTGTTTGCAGGTGAAACTGGAACATCTTCCAGCCGCATTACAGACAGGGACGCAGGAGTTGAATTGCTCGCTGTTGATCTGGACAGAGACCTGCTAGCACTCCTCTGCTCAGGCCGCTGTCTAAGAGACGAAGGGCTCTGGGAAGGATGCATGATGAGCGATTTTGTGTCAAAGTCTGCTATTCCATTCTCTAGTTCAGGCACTGCTGTAGAAAAGCACACTCGTTTAAAGGGGAACGTGAAGAGGACAGCAGAACACTGACCGCCTCTTTACCACAACAAGCAAAAAAAATCAGAAAAAATCAAGGTGAGCTGCTCTTTCCTGAAGAGCCAGCCAAACAAATCAGCATTCAAAGCTGACCCAAAACAAAGAAGGAACACGAAAGAGCAGGAGGCAGCTCCTCTGCTTTTTAAACACTCGGTGCCCGTCTCCTGCGCTACTTTATAGAGACTAACCTGTTCTATCAGGCATGTCTGGTGCAGCAGACTCGCAATCCTCCAGCTCTCTGGCATCAATTGAAAGTGCATCCAAACCTTCGCTGAGCGAGTCCACAGACTCCGTGTCGTGGGCACAGCCGTTGACATGGAAACCGTTAATTCCACCCTTCTCCGAGTTTGCCGACTGCTCCTCTTCAGTGGACACCAATTTACCGGGGTCTGGGAGGCCGGGGCTCGATTCAGCTTGCTGTTTCGGTTTGGTTTTCTTCTTCTTGTTCTAAGGATTAGGTATCCACATCACAAAGGGGGGGAAAAAAAAAAACGTTAAGCTTAATTCCTGAAGGGAAAATTAAGCTTATGCTTACTGGCTGAAAGTAGCTGAATTAAATGCTTTTTCAGCCAGCCTGGCTGTTGATCCTATTAACAGTAGGAGGGATTTAGTCAACAATGAGGACAGATATAGTGGCATTAATGAGGCGCGAATACATTATCCTCTCCGATGGTGTGCCAACAAGAGCAATGCACTGGTTATCAGGTGAAGGCTGCATAACTCATGGGAAGCAGCGGAGAGGTTTGTGGCTGTAACCCACAGCACCAGCCGGGTCGCTTCTGGGGGTGCTCACTGGCAAGGTGCAGCTTCCAGGGTGCTCTGCTAGACCTCGCTCTGATAAAACTTCCCTCATTTCCCAGCACAGGGCTATTCAGTCACATTTTTTTCCCCCTCTCCATTTCACGCTGGTGCTTTTCACGTATTCAGAGGAGTCCTTTTGAATAATTATGATTTTATTCTAGTCCTGGTGGATTTAGATATTATAATATCAAGTAGTGAAACTTTGCAAATCTTTATTTAACCCTTTCACAGAGGTCTGAGCAAAGAACTAGGCAAAACACTCGAGAAAGCTTACGTGACAAAGAAATATATTTCCACAGAGCTCAGCATTAAAACACAACTGTTCAGCTCCAAAGGTTACCGATGAAAAATGGAACAGCATGACTATCTGAACAGTGAATTACAGAGCTCCGTTGAAATAAATGGACCTGATAAAGATTTACTTCAGCGTGGGGCTGTGTGTGCAGATTAGGGGTCCTGTAGAGGGTCAGCAGAATAAAAGCGACTGCAGGGACAGAAAGTCCAGAACCTTTTTTTCAGATGCTACATTTGACACAACGTGTCTGACAACTAAATGAAATGCAGATGTGGCGAGAAGATGATGTTTACAACTTGCACTGAAGCTACCGTGTAAATCCTTGCCCTGAACAGCGAGGCACCTGATAACCTAGTGATTATCTCCATGCATCAGTTCTGCTAACAGCAATATACACGTTTGCTCTTTGGTTTCTTTTCCCATCTGAATCACGAGGAATGCCTACTGTTCTCTCTAGTCTAAATCCTCAAAATAAAAAGATAAATGCCTTAGCAAAGTATATTTAAAAAGCGTTACCTTTTTTTTGCCTGTTACAGTCCATTCTTTCAGTACTTCACTGGCATTACCTGAAACGAAATGCAGCGATGAGCAGTGGACAGGCATCCACTCCAATTCTTTCCCGGTCACGTGGAAGTGCCTCCATACCTGGAGCCAGCTGTAACACTTCCCGCAGCTAAGTTTCAGTTCTCTCAGTCGATGTAATAAAAGGATTGATTTCATGTTTGCTTTGGGAGCACACTGCTGAACGGGACTACTCCCTTACACCACAGTGCCAGCTCTTTCCAGGAAACAAACAAACAAAAAAATCTTCTCTTTGGCTCTGTCATACTAAAGGTTTAGGTACTTGGAACCCGGCTGGAGCATGTTCTGAACTCAAAGGTCGCGTTCAGGTCAGATCTCTGCTGGCCTTCTCTCCCCAGAGGCACTGACTGTGTCAGGATGACCACAGTCTGAGGAATAGCTGTCATACCTTCTGTAGGCCAGAGGCAAAGCGCAGTTGTCAGTGATGGCCGGCATGGAAATAAGAGCTGCAAAGCGACAGGCACTGTCACCAGCAACAGCCTGTTTTGCCAAGGTCAGAAAATCCATCTAATGCAGCATGCCAGCCAGACCCAAGAGAGGATTTGTGAGCCAGGTTTCAAAGTAAAAACAGCAACCATCGAAGCTGAAGACATTCCCATTCTGTACACATGAACAAGAGTTTCTGTAACTGAGTATCAAACCCCCTTTACCTAAAGAGCTATCAAACGCTTATCTCTGCCTTGACCCCTAGTTGAACAAACACCAACTAAAACTTGGGAAGAGGGTCATCCGTTAGTCATCTCTGTGGATGGAGCCTGCACTTGGATGTGGTGAGAAGCTACATGAGCTTCTGCCACCTGGCGCACCTCCTGCACACAGCCCTTTCTGCACAAAGGCTGTTGCTGCTTCTGAAGTAGGTCCATAAACACGGTACCTGCGAGTTACGAAGCCACAAACCCCGCCAAGAAACCGGCCGCAGTTACCTTCCATAAATGCTTGCACTGTTTTGTCCACACAGTTGTCAAAATGCTGCAGCACAAGGACAATCTCATTGTTGCTCCTGTTGGGGACTATCGCACGCACCGCGCTGATCTAGAGGGAAGAAAACAGGGTAACATGTAAACCATTTGCTTTATCCCACACGGAGCCTACAGCAACCCTTCTGCGAGCAGTCTAAAAACCGTAAACGATGACTTCCTTATAAAACTTTAATGTGCCAGGACGATTTAGCCTGAATAAAATTTTGCTTTTGACAGAGCTGCAGTTAGCTCCCAGACAGAAACATATTTCATCTCAGAGAGGAGACGAAGATACAGCGCTCAGGAACTCTTCCACGGCACGTGGTGAGTTAAAGTCTCAGAAGACACATTTACCTTCTCCTTCATGTTTTCAAAGGTTCCTCCTTGGGCCATCACAGTATTGGACTGCACATCAAAAATAAACCCAGACGGATCTGTGAAGACAAAGGAGAGGGAAGCTCTCTTCTGAACAACAGGCACCGAGAGACATTTAGAAAGATACGAAGCAAGAGGTCAGCTCCGACTTGTTACTTTGCCAGGGAGAAAATTGAAATCCTACACACGTATGGTGTTCGCTGGCTAATTCTGCCATATGGTTAGCAGAGGGCTGTTAGCTGCTGAGAGATATTCCAGCCTTGTTTAAGAACCCGATTCTGTTTAGCCAGGTAACCCCAGTTGAATCTGCTTTGCCAATGCCCCCCCACGGAACTCAAGAAGCCGATTCACTCCTCAGCTCTGGGTCAGTTTAAACCAACCAACCACGGATCAAAACCACAAGCCAAAAAACCCACAAGCCCCAACAGGGCTGGTACGAAACAGAAGATCGCTGAAGCAGACCAGACCAGTACCGCTCCTCCATTTCCACATTAATCTTTTACTGAGCCCAGCAATAAAGAGTTAACAAAAGCGCTAGAGCCTTCGAGCAGTGTGGTTACCAATTTCCTCCACCTGGAGATACAAATGGCAAGCAGACTGATAAATGGGTTTGAAGATCCAGCAGCTTGTGTTCCCTGCCAGCTATAATCTCCAAGGTAATGCTTATATGTTCCAAAAGAGACCCATAATTGAGACAGCCATCACCAACAGGTTTGCTCCCTGCCAGCGAGCAAAGGTCACATAAATCTGCAGGCCCCACCATTTCACCGAGAGGTCCTGACGAGTGCCTGGTATCACAAATTCACGCTCGATTTTTCTGCCGAGGGTCTGAGCAGGCTAAATTTCAGGTTTGCTAAAGAAAAGGGATATGGCTGTTCAAAGATGTGGTTTACTATGACAGAACGTACTTCAAACCGGTGTTTTAGCCGCATTTGGTCTCGGGAAGAACACGTGCCCCTGGGCAGGGGCCAACGGCAGGACCCCAGAGGTTTTAAGCACTCCTATTCTGCGTCACCCACCCCTTTCCAGGGAGTTCACACGCATGCACAAAGCCACGGGCGGATTTCCTAGGAGGGCATTTCCTCGCGTGTGCTTTGACGCCTCGAGCCCTGCCCGGGGTCAGGGAAGTGCAAGACCGCTGGTGGGTTTCTACAGCTGCCGCTGGCCGGTGGCTTTGGGGACTGCCTGGGGGAAGGGACGCCTTCAGCAGGCCAGGGTGCTCTGCGGGGACGCTCGCTCGGTCACTGCCCTGCCTGCTTTAGCTCAGCTGATATTCCAAGCTGCTGATTCATGTTCTTTCCCTCACCTCCTCTAAATAACTCGTACGCGATTTTGAGACACACCATTGACTTCCGCGGTTCCCAGACATTGATGTAGCATTTAAACTGAGATGCCTCCAAATACAGTGACAGAATTGTGAACATGATGGAAAGGTCAGCCTCTTATTAAGGCTACAGATGAACGGTTAAATTCTTCCTCACGCCGTCCTTACCCATTTCAGCCCCATGAGCAAGATTTTCTCAAGTTTCCCAAGCTCACAGAAGTTCAAGTTACCAACTTTCTAGTCCTTAATCTTGTAAATGGCTTTCAGACTCCCATCACCGAGTGAGAATTAGCAATCTTTTCTCAAAATCTTCATTGCAGAGCAGCCACCAAGGACCCAGGTGCCAGGAAAGATGAAGTTCAGCTCCCCCATGCAGCACATTTTCAGCTACTCAGTCCCATCCCTCTCCCACATCTCCGTTTGCGCTTGGTCTTACAGGGGACCGAGCTTGTCGGCACCTCGCTCCGGGCCGCTTCTCCAGCTTCCAGTCGCTTCGCTACGGCCCAAGTCCTGCTGGTGTTAAAATGTTTATCATGCAAAAATTATGCAACAGAGACTACGCTGTATACATTTGATATTGCCCTTGAGCACTCCCAAGCATCATTAAAAGGGCTGCTGGCACTCAGGTCTCTTGTGACAGTGGGTATTTGCAAGAAGGGACAGAATTTAAAATGCTGACGCCTGCGTGGACAGAAGTCTGGCGGCCACCAGTGACTTCAGGATTTTGGAATTAACATCCTTGTGAGAAAGGAAAGCTCCTTCCCAAAGCCGGGGCTCAGGCTATGCATGTCATGTCTGACATGACAAGTCAGTCAGACGCTCAGAGTGATCTCTGCTGCATTAAAACATACACCATGCAGTGCTACCCTGTTGATTTGATGTGATAAACCCCAGAGACGACGCCAACGGCCTTAATTGCTTCTCTGTTCACAACTGCATCCTCCAGAAAAATGAGGTGGTAAGAAATCATTCATCCCAAATCATTTACTTTTGTGTTTCAGTGCTATTTATTGGGCTAATAACACAGGATCTCTTAAATAGAAACACTAACGATGCCAGGAAGAATCCACCCTCCCAAATACCAATCTGCTCCTCTCCTAACTCCGCTAATTAGTCCTTTCTGTACGAAACACATGCAAGACCACAGACCTAACAAATGCCTGCTCTGCTTCCTGGGACACACGAGATGAAACAGCTTCACAGCTGACACCTCCAGGAAGTCAAAACAGGGGCCGCTATTTCCCCCTCAAGCCCCCAGGTCAAGCCGAGCTGAGTCCTGGCTCACTTTTGAGCCACGGCAGGCAGTCATTTCATAAGGAGACACAGAAAAGAAAGGAAAGCACCAGCCCGACAGCTGCACAGACTTTGTCCCAGCCGGCGTCACTGAGCACACTTTACGAAAGCGCACAGCGAGATTACGCGTATGCGCTTAGCTCCTCCGAACCCGTCCAGCACTTCACCCCCACCACACCCACGAGCCAGCTCATGGAAAGTTTTCACAGTAAAATAGCGTATGAGACTAAAAAAAAAAAAAAAATCCCGCTCCAAACGCCAGGTCCACCCTCCTGCCCCAGCCAGGACGCTGGCAGGCAGACGGCTTTGGGGGACTGGGCGGCATATACACTTAAAGTGCTATGCAATCAAGATTCAGTTAAACCGTGAAACATTTATAGACTCTGTGGCTTTTCAGGTCAACGGTAACCGTGTCGGCTCTCCCGGGGATAGCGCGAGAGACCTCAGCTAATGTGAAATAAAAAGCTCTGGAAGAAATGGCACCTCCCTTCCCCAAAATACATTAAGATCTCTGAGCGGGTCTGTTGGGTTACTAAGCCGTACTTGCTCAATTTCTGTCCCTGCTTGCTGCCTGGGCGCATTCGAAGTCGGGGCTTGGTACCTCCATCAGCTGTTGTGGAAACTATTTTAATGCCCCAAGGACAGCCCCGTGATATTCCTGCAGCGCACGGAGGTGGCAGCTGCACTTCAGAGCCTTGTCTCAACGAGAAACGCCACCTTCTCGCTTATTTTCTCAAACAGATTTCAAGGGGCCAAGCATGCAACACGGCCTTCTCGGTCCAAACCCCACACAGGGAAGTGATCGGTTCACCGGGGTGTTATTACGAAAAAACCTGCTTGTGCTTCAGAGAGAATATGGCTAAACAGGCAAGAGATGGACGCACAATTCAAAGGATTCATTCTGAGCTGAGCAAATTAAACCTTCCAGACATCCGATCCCAGAAGCATCTGATCAGCTGGATGGCTGCTGGATGGCAGCGGAAGAGTTAGCCCTTGTATTAACGCAGGCCACCCTCCCAATATAAGGCCATATTCATCTAAGGGCTTGGAAGAGGGAGGGAAAAAAAAAGAAATTAAATATGGAATAAAAATTAACTTCTTGCAAATCAACTAAAATATGCCCAAAGTTATGCTGCTAAAACGGGGCATTTCTGCCCGACGCAAAAAGCGGGTATTTTTGCCACAAAGGCAGGGACTCGTACGGACGCAACTCTCCTGAGCACCCGTCCTGCTTCCCAGGGCCAGGGGAAGCACTTGGAGGGCAGGTCTAAGTGCCCCCGCGGTGTCACCGACCGGGTCCAGCCGAGGCAGGCACGCTGCCCTTCCCCGGCCACCGCCACGGCTGCCCTTTTAACCCGCGCTCCGCCTTCTGCTTCGGACGCGCAAGCAGCGAAGCAAGGCAGTCAGCTTTCAGGGGAGCTAAGGCAGCAAAGCCAAACAGAGAGCCATCAAGGTAATTCAAACTGCAGGACACTGTCTTCCCCCTCACATCTAATTTCCATCTACACATAAAAAATGAAAAATTAAATTAAACCTGCGCATTTCCAGAGCGCCACGCGCAGCAGAGTGATGCGGCTGAAGTTCCCATGAATTCCTGACATCACCTGCATCCTGGTACCGCACCCGAGCTCACCCACAAGCCAGGACCCGATTTATCAGGTTACAGAACACATGCTCAATATTCGCCTTTGTGCATTTTCAACATAACTCACAGCAAGCGCTGCCTCACAGAGTAACTCCACAATCTCCCGGTTTGCCGATTCTACCAGAAGTTATCCGGACACAGACCGAGCAAATGGCTCACGACCACCCCAGTCAGCAAAGCCTGGTTTCTGCAGAGCCGTATCTTCTGCTTGATTGATGCGTCGTTAAACGAAGCGCGAGCTTAAAATGAAATTTCTCCCACGTTTGGGGTTTTTGTGAAGGCTCTGGTGTGCAGGCTCCCTGCTGCTTAACACCGCTCGAGCTGAAACCCTCCCTTCCCAGCGACTGATACCAAAGGCCTTTCGCCCGTACCAAATTCACGTAGGACAGTCTTCCATCAATTGAAATGGCTCCCTGATGTATCCAGATGAGTAGGAACCCGAGTGCTGTTTTATTCGGGAACCCGGCATGCCTAAAACCGCGGCTGATGTCCGATGGAAAGAAGATTTACGTGATTGCTTTCTATCCTGGGGTCACCAGTCATTCCTGAGCCTGGTGGCTGCTTTCACTCAAATCAATTAATCGAGTGAGAAGGGGGGATGAGAGGGAGTGCACACGCTTCATGTTGGGGGAAAAACGGAAGCACTAAGAATCCAAGATCACTTCAGACAGCAGCAAACCAACAAGCCCACTAGACACCGGGGGAGTATTCATTTAGAGATGCGGCACCACTGAGACCACCTTTCCTTCGCGTTTCTAAATTATCCCTTACAGAATATCCTAAAGCTGAAATGAGCCAGCCAGTATAACCCAGACATGGACCTACATGGGGATGCACGCATTCGGATTCTGAACGGGGATAATGACCTGACTGGTTTAGAGATGGAGTGGTTTTCTCCTCAGCACAGACCTTTCGAGTAAAGAGCTATTTACAGCCAGTAATATTCAGGAGTAGAACATGATTCTGTGCCCAAACTTTGCATATACATTTTCGCAAGACTTAAAAATACCCTTGAATAGCTCAGATGTTCACTCTGTTCTGTGGCACTTTTTAGAAGAAGAAACAGGTGGGCTTCTGATTCGGTTTCAAAACTGCTGCGTTATTAAAAATAGGTCGGTCTCGTTCCCTACATCTCAACACTTCTCACCAGCCCTTTGTTACACTGCAAAGGGGTTTTGTTTTCCTTTCAGAAAGAAAGAGAAACCGGAAAGACATTCCGTACCTGGCCAAGGTACACTCCTTTACAGAGGACTGGAAAATATTTGTTGACTGCATTAACATTCTAGAGCAGCAGAAAAGTAGTAATTGAAAATTCAATCAGAGTCCAAACAGGACAGGGCACAGCCAGAAGAGCCTGCAGCTTTAACTCTCACCTTCCCTTACGTCCACATTGCCACTGCAACGCGGACTGGAGATGAGCCTGCTTAACAAAGCAGGGCGTATTTTATATCCCCGGCGGCGGAGCGAGCTAAAGCCTACTCTGCCTTCCTGCTCGGTCTCAAATATTTATGTCCGAGATCCCTTTACTTTTCTTTCAGAACCCAATACACGCCAGCGCTTCCCAGGGGGTTCTCTCTGTGACACACTCTGCCGAACACCACCGAGAGCAGCAACTGTGCCGGCTTTCTCCTTCGGCCGGGGATTTGCCAAACCCCCGAATTCCCTCAGAGTAACAGCTTCCCATGTTTTCCCCCAGTTGCCTCCTACAGGTTTCTCTGGCTGTTCCCCTGCCTAGACCCGTTAATTCTCTTCTGCTGTTTCAAGGCGTGTTTTTCTCTCCACATGTACTCAGCAACAACAATTGCTGGGCTCCGTTTCCAGCACCAGAGAGAAGTCAATTTCTTAATGACTCGTACTGAGGCTTCCAAGAGCACAGATACAAATACAGCATTTTAAAAATCACTCAAAAATTATCCTATACGATAATTTCCATAACTGTTACTAATTGCTTTGAATCATGTATGGCTCTAGCTGTCAAAGGACGGCTGGGCTCCTCAGGTAGACACTGTTTCTATGCCAAAGCTGCTAGAAAAGAAAAAATCTGCAGAGAACAAAAGCTCTTCTCTTGAGGTAGAGGACATGAATTGTCAAACCCATTCGCCTTAAATTATTAATTAGTAGTCAGTTCAAATAAAAAGAGAACCATAACCCTCAACCCCCCCCTCTCCCCCCACCACACACACACACACTTTGGAATTAATGTTTCACACGCGACAAATAAGATCCCTCACTGAAATGAGCTGCTTGACGCCAGAACAGCTTTGCCGCTTAACATGCGACGGCAGAAAAAGGAAAACCAGCCTGTGTATTTGAAGACAAAGCTTCTCGCAAACTTGCTCGTTGCCCTTCTGTACCTATCTCGAAGGAAAAAGATTTACATAGGTCTAGTTTGAATCGCATCCCCCGGAGGCGAGGACCTGAGCTGAGCTATCCCACCTCGATTCGATGGCTTGTTTCCTAACTGGATTCCCGGCAAGCAGCTGCCACAGACAGCACAAACAGAAGCCTGCCCCGAAACCCCGGCGTCCACGGGGCGCTCCGAGAGGGTGGACGAGGGCTGCCTCGGGAGCAAGACTAAGTTTTGGTAGAGTTAATCCCATCAGAGACCCAGACACCACCAAAATTCATCCTGGCCATACCCAGAGAGGGGAAGTCGTGAACCGACTGGGGACCCCAATAAAATAAAGGAGTTTGGCTCCGTAACTCTTCAACTGCTAAACAGTATTTTTTTCTCCTGTTGTCTGACTGTGAAAGTGATGCAATATTAACATTATACAGGAACTCGTGAAATCAGAACTGTCCAGCCGGACAACTGAAATGCTACTAAAATGTCACAAAACCCAACAGGTTATACGATGTCACTAAGACAGTGACAATAAGCTGTCAAGTGACATCAGCAGCCTTGAAAGGAGTATAGCACAAAGCAATTAACCCCTTTCCTAACTGGTAACTTTGGAATCGATAGTGCTGTTTATTGGCAGTTGATTGTATCACATTCACATGCATCTTACCTTTTGTATTTTGCTTTTTAGACATCTCAGCGTGTTTGCGCTAACGTCCAGCTATACAGGAAGGGGGGGAAAAAAAAGAGAGTCCTCGCCCTTGAGCGATGTAGCTGGCAGTTGCAATTCACACGCCGCCTTGTATCAATGCGGGAAACGGCAGATATCTGGTTTGGGATGGCAAAATCCCAGCTGCGAGGGCAAACGGGGTCTGGAGTTGTCAGAAATCTGCTGACAGGCCAGCAGAGCACTGCGGCTCCTTCCTCCGAAAAGCAACTTCTTGTCACGAAGCCTGACTGCAGCAGTCGGTATCGGTCTTTTCAGGTTCTGAAAAAGAAAGAAGAAAAAAAAAAAAAGGAAATAAGAAAATTGCCACTGTACTAGCCAAGGCATACCTTGAGACTCACGGCTTGTCAGAGCCGTTTTGCTCGTGCTTTTTAAGAGTAAAATTTGTCTTTTGTTTAAAGGCGTGGTGAAACAACTAGCCAGAAAAAAAGCAACATTAAATATAAAGCAACAAGATCCCAACAGACTTGGTACCGTTTCAACAGGCTTAATTCAAAGCTACTGTAAGAGACTGTCACTTAAGCATGCAAGCAGTAGAACCAGGGAGGTTTAGAACCCATCATAAAAACACACATTTACACAAATGCCAACATTTATGGACGTAAGAGCCATCAGACAACGTGGACCGAGAGCGTGGTTCCTACGCTCGGTGACAACACTCACGACGGCGCGAACTCTTATATCTCTCTCGTGCGTTAATGCAACCAGCATCCCAGGGAAGGCAAAATTCACTTTGCTGCCAGCACCCGAAAGCACGCGAATTTTAAACGCTTTCTCTGCTTATTTCAGCAGAGCACGGAACACCAGCCTCCCCCACCCAGGCGGTGCAGGGGCAGCTCCGCGTGGCATTACATACGCGTGTCTTCCTGGTGCTCCCGGCGCTCCTGATTTAAGGAGCCAGCGAAAGCAGGGGCGGCAGGCACCGCATCAAGTACGATGACAGGTTAAACAAAGAACAACAGGATACACAAGGTAAGGAAACAATAGAGACCTCTTGGCCACGGCAAACCCGCCTAACCCCAAGGAAGGATCCGGCCCCCATTACAAAACCTCAAAGCCGTCTTCACAATGGAGCGGGGAAAACACACAAAAATTGCCGTTTCAATATGTAAAACGCAGGTAACTGAAGACGCAAAATGTTTCCGCAAACATCAGGAGACCTTGTGCATTTCAGCAAAACCCACACGCTCGTGAAAATGAAATGACAGCATCGAGAAACACGCATCTAATTTGCTCCAGAAATAATGAGAAGTTCAACTCCCGTCCACCCCGACGATCAGGATTATTTTTTAGGGATACGCTTTACAAGTCTGAGGAATGCAGCAACGCTCCTGCAACACACGAACCAGCGAGACTGCCCCAGGGTTCATCGACAGGGTCCTAACGAGCCTATTTTGATTTAAAAATAGACATTTCCTATCATTAGAATTTTCCTTCATCAGCTACACGGGAGTTCAAAACGTATTTCTAACCAGCGACCCTAGCAATCTGAATCTGAGACAAAGTCAACGCTCGCTGTCAGCGCAAAAAAGACTGTGCAAAAGAATTTTTTACCTGCAAACAGAGTCCCAAACCGAGAGGTGGTTACAAACTCCTGCCCCGCCGCCTTCCGCTCTCGGAATTAAATGCCTTCATTCGTTTTGATGCCTCGAGGCACTAAATAACACCTCATAAAAATTCTGGCATTTGAAACTCCGCTCAAAAATACAGAAGCTGGAGAATTTAGCAAAGGATTAGGCTGCCGATTCGGGACGTGAGCGGCCCCTGAGCTCGACGCCTGGAAACTGCCGGCTGGTCGAGCTCTGCCGGCTGTGCTAGCGTGGCCGATCTGCTTTGGTTTGCACGATTACACCCAAGTTTCACTTCCCTGCCTGACTGATTTGTGTCCACGACCAGGAAACGCACTGCAGGCAGCGCAGCCATCCAGCTGCCGGGAACCTCCGGTACCTCCTGTGATTTTAAGATAACGTCAGGTTGCGGAGAAGGAAAGTGCTCACGCACTGACCTATGATACCAGAGCTAAATGCCTTCAGTACATATTGCTCAGTTTTAAAAACAAACAAACAAACAAAGGACAAACCCACAACCCTGCTTTACAGTCGTCTTTATAATTTCATTTTTTAAATGAAGACGAGCACGCTTTAATCCAGAGGGAGCGCGGAAATACACAGGTACTGACAAAAAGTGTGTAACATCCCGCTTGAGAGTGCTTTACGTGAACTCCCTCAAGTCGTCTCAAACTTAATTCATGAAACAAAGGAACGCTTAAAAACTGCCTCTGCAAGTACATCCCCGAAAAGCAAATAACTGCAAGAACACTTCATTCAGACAAAGTCTAGAAACAAGCTGTAAAAAATAAAAGTTGCCAGTAAAGAAGTTATCAGGAAATCCCCCCAAAAAACCAACCCACTACACCTTATCACCCAAGAAACAGACTTTTACCCACTTCAAAGGAGAAAAATAAACAGTAATTAAGTCTTGGGGGGGAAACAAACGACATACAACAGGTTCTGAATTGCTCTTTGGCAAGCTAAATTCTAAGCACAAAAGTAATAAAGTAACAGACTGGAAACAAAACCCCACTGATGTATCTGACGAGTATAAAACGGCAAATCTTTACTCCTTCATGATGCAATTAATATTTCATCCGATACACCCCGCGGTAAGAATCTAGAGCCAGACGGTCAAAAGCAGCTCCGGCTCATGTCGGAATCGGGGCTCAGGCTGCTGCGTGACCTGCCTTTAACTCGGCGTCTCTCACGGCAGATGGGCTGGAAATTTCAACATGGCTATTAGCCGGGAACCTTAAAGAGAGCGGCGCGAGAGGGCTGTAAAACACACAAGCGTTTTTAAAACCCAAGTGGAAATTTCAAGACTGGTAAAATAGCAAAGGTTAATGCAAGTTCAAATACTCGTTATAGGTGGAGAGCTCCTTCAGATAAGGGCAATATAAGGCTCTTATAGCGCACCGTACGTGTCTATAGAAACAGTAAAGCATCAATACAAAAACGTCAAGAAATCTACCTGCAGGATCAAAATAAAATGTTGTGGTTATAACAGAGTTGACGGGGGAGCAATATAACCCGCAGAAACCCAACTCCCTCCTGCTACGGACAGAGCAACCAAACTCCTCCCAGAGCTGCCAGCCTTCAGCTGACGACGTAAAACTTCTCCAAATCACACTGGAAATGCACGTTATTGTTAAACGCTCAAGTATCAGCATATTCCATCTAATTTAGAAAGAAGGGAAACATTCGAAATTTTACAGACGGCAAGTCAGAAAAGAAGCAACTTCTAAATCCCCCACCGTGGCGTTAGCTTGCCGTGCTATTCTTGCTCCGTCTAGACGGATTGTTTCAGTAAACTCGGAACTCGATAGCTCCCTATTTGAAGGAAAAGAAGATAAACAGGGAGAAATTTGTCTGGATTTTTTTATTAGTCTATGGAAGATGCTTTCGCTGAGAAATCTGGAGTTCTGAAGAATAAATAAGTCTGCTTCTCGGGAGGGTTTTTACCAGGGTTGTTTTGGGACCTCGGGCAGGCGGCACGGTGGGCTGTCCCCAGCCTCCGCCTCACGCCCGGCTGGAGCATAATTCACACTGTACAGTAGCATCTGGCTAATTGGCTTTTGAGTTAAGTAGTCCCTTACCAAGCTATTTTAATCTTGTTGATCGAGCACGTAAGAGTCGTCTCTGTGAGTACACACAACAGCGTTTCAGTAGAATAAATCGTCCTGTAGTAATTTATAATCATCCTCAAATAAAAATCCATTTTCCAAGACTCCAGCACCTCAGAGGACCGGGGTGTTTACCTACAGCACTGCACCCCCCCCGTAAAGCACTCACGCAAGAAGGGAATTAACTCAATTTTATAGCGTGTCCTGAAAAAAAAAAAAAAGTGACAATTACACTAGAAATTCGGGAACTTATTCTACCTGTCAGGGAACAAAACTTGGAGGAGCAGGTTTAGTACACCCACTGCGCACAGGAACACCCCGACGTTCCCATTGCCTTCGCCGGGCGCTGCCAGCCCCGACTCACGGCGCAAGCACAGCCTGGGTTTTTTTTTCCCAGACCGCCACTGAATCCCTGGGGAATTCATGCGGCGCTGAAACCCCGAGGCTCGGGGGGTTTGGGGCAAATACCTGTTAAGTTACAGCAGACCAAAATAAGCCTGTTCATCTCTCACATTCAACAGATGCCTCGGTTGTTTCTGTTCGAAAAAGTAACTTTTTTTGCCCTGAAACAGACCACGAAACACATCAGGCCAACGTTTTAATCAAAGCCAGCAGCTTTATTACCCCGCATCTGAAAGGAAGGAAGCGCACCGTTCAGCAGCGAGCTCAGCACAAGCCCGACTGTAACTTGGGTTTTTTCCTCCTTCCCCCCCCCAAATCGAGACAATCGGTTTTCAGAAGCTCCTTCCACCAAACAATGGCTGGGTCAGAGCACGCGGGGAAGGAGGAGCGCAGGCTCCTCGCCCCTCCAAGCACAGGTCTGGGAAGGGCTAACGCCAGCGCCCACAGCCAAATCCCTGCACAAAGCAGCTGCTTCTTCTGTCCTGGACAAGTCCTTTCATGGTACTGAAGGATCGTAACATTGTACAATACAAAGAACCATTTTAGGATTTAAAAAAGTAGTTTCTTAATATCACTCTTGGGGTTTGGGTTTTTTTTTCAGTATTTCCTCAGGAATGAACTGAACATTTAACCTCGGAGATAATTAGCTGTCTATATTCCGTTTAAATCCACACATTTATTGTTCTTTCACCAAATGCATTATGCAGAGCACGACTGGGCATTAGCTATCCTCAAACACCTACCTCTTACAAGCTGTGTATCGTTTTGCAGCACAAAGAAGCAAAACTACGGAACATTCCCCGTATCTATTCCGATGATGCTACAAAACCCCACCCGGAGAGTTTACAAATACTTAAACAAGACAGAAGAGCAGACTACCGGGTTTTGTGTTCTTCAGGAGGGGGCTGCGGTGCAGGATTCCTGGTGGCACACTGCCTCCCGCACTCACTTTCCGGGTAAAGGGGTACTGGGAGCCGCTGGAGGGATTTCTGACGCTTTACACAGCGGTGCGAGCGGAGCAATTCGGCAGAAGGGAAATGCTCTTGACTTGGACGCCAAATTTTGCTTTCCTGAGGCAAAGATCTCTTTGCACTTTGTCTCCTGGTCCTCCCTCCATCCAGTCAAAGCTTTCTGTATCCCTTCCTAACCAGCCTGCCCGGGAGGGGACAGCTGCGATGG